CCGCACAGTGGGAAAAAAAGTACTTTTTTTGTTAAAAAATCTGCCGACACAACAATTTTCGACGTAATTCCCCCATTTTTTTTTATAAGCTCCTTAGATATCAAGCGTTAGTGTGTCACTGCCATTTTTTCTCAAGAGTCCAAACCCTAACCTCAAAAAATCGGGAAATACAGGAAAAACAGATTAAAAAAATTAATTTCTGTGAAAATTAGTTTTCACGGGTTTTTAAGGTCTCTGATCATAAATTTTTTGTTTGCTTATACAATTTTAAAATGGCAGATACAAAATGGCGGCCAAAAACTAGAAACTACGAATTATTCTGCGTTTTTTCGTATAATTTAATACAAACGATCTCTTTCGTCTCTGATTACGAACTTATTTCTTTTATTATGTAACAAGCTTTCATGTGTCACTGCCATTTTTCCTCAAAAGTCCAAACCCTAACCTCAAAAAATCGGGAAACACAGAAGAAATAGATCAAACAGTATATAATACTGCGAAAATGAGTTTCTAGGAGCTTATCAGGTCTCTGATCAAGAATTATTTGTTTGTATATTCAATTGGGAAATGGTGGAGACAACATGGTCCCTAAAAATAAAAAGTTTTGCTTCATTTGGTTTTCTCTATGTAAATTAGTATATAATTTCTTCAATCCAAAAAATACTACATCTCAATCAAAGATGCCTTATGATGTTGTGTGTACAAAAATTTTAAGAAAAGTTATTCTAAATTTGAAAAAAAATAANTCTTTGTCAAACGGAACAAAGATCTGTCCAAAATTCTATAGATCGTAAACGATGTTTTGTGGGCGCAAACTGTAGCTTAGTTAATAGGCTTTCTTTTGCCGTCTGGCGTTTTGGCGTTTTTCCACAATTCAAAATGGCGGACCAATACGGTGGCTGCAGTTAGTCAAAATCCCTCTGAGATAGCAGTTTTACCTCATTTAAAATAGTTTTGGACCTTCAAAAATTCAAATTATAGCCTAGTAATATGTATTTTTTATCGCTAATCACAAATCTATGCTTATTTTTGATCGAGCACATTACGAATCCTTTCTTACCTCAAAAAATTTCATAAAAATGTTAAAAAATTCAAAAAATTTATTTTTGTTAACAATTATTTAAAAAAATTAATTTCACCTTTATTATCTCATTTTTTCGAATTATCGTATTGTTTTTTTTTTTTAGCAAAAATAACAGTATAGCACTAAACTGCTCAATTTTAGAAATGTCTGAAATAGAATTTCTATGATGCCTACAAAGTTAAGGACTAACACATGTAAAAAAAAGTAAGACATCTTTTTCTTTAATTTCGTAATATTTTTTAAAACAGTAAGGTTTGTTATGAAAAAGCGCATGAAAAGTATTTACTACAATATAGTATGTTTGGAAAAAAAATCATGTACAGCAAGAAAACCTAGGTCGTATAAGGTATTTTAAGTCAAGTAAAACACAAAAAAATTATATTACTGTTTACTGTCTTCATAAGTAGTTTATATAAGTGGAATATTTTATTTTTAAAGTGTGAAAACTTTAATCACATTCAGTTCATTTTAAAAATGGATAGGTAAAAATAAATTAGACAGTTTAAAACAAAGTGAGTTCTATTATTTTCAAAGAAAAAAAATTTTTTATTTTGAAGAGGAATATGTTTGTACATTTTCTGTAGTTCGTTGGATGATGACAGAAAGAAAACAAAGAATGACGCATTCATAAAGTTATTTTTTTCAAGCTTAGAAAAGTTTTTCTCAAAATTTTTGTACACACAACATGATAAGGCATCTTTGATTGAGATGCAGTATTTTTCGGATTGAAAAAATTGTGTGATAATTTGTATAGAGCAAAGCAAAACAAAGCCAAGTTTTTAATTTTTGGGCCCATGTTGTCTCTGCCATTTTCAAATTAAATATATACAAACAAACAATTCTTGATTAGAGACCTGAAAAGCCCTAGAAACTCATTTTCGCAATAACATTTTTCGTTTGATCTGTTTCTTCTTTGTTTCCCGATTTTTTAAAGTTATGGTTTAGATTATTGAGGAAAAATGGCAGTAACACACTAAAGCTTGTTACATAATAAAAGAAATAAGTTCGTAATCAGCGACAAAAAGGTCGTTTGTAGTAATTTATACGAAAAAACGCAAAATAAATCAGAATTTCTACTTTTTGGCCGCCATTTTGTATCCGCCATTATAAACTTGTATAAACAAACAATAAATTCATGTTCAGAGACTTTAAAAACCCGTGAAAACTAATTTTCACAGAAATTTTTTTTTTTAATCTGTTTTTTCTGTATTTCCCGATTTTTTGAGGTTAGGGTTTGGACTCTTGAGAAAAAGTGGCAGTGACACACTAACGCTTGACATCTAAGGAGTTTATAAAAAAAAGTGGGAGAATTACGTCAAGAATTGTGGTGTCGGCAGATTTTTGAACAAAAATAGCGCTTTTTTTCCCACTGTACGCCACCGCAGAGCGCCGCTGGAGGTCACGCCCACTTCCCAAAGCGAGGCTTCGATGATTTTGAGCGAGTGCCTTCAAAATGAAAACGCGCATGAAAAATAACAATATCTCCGAAAGTTCTGGATAAAAATTAATAATTTTTTATTAATGTGTTGTAGCTTTCAATAATATTAAGATTGCGCATATTTATAACTTCATAAAAATGTAAGTAGCCACTTTATATGTACATTATCGACTTTTAATTACGTAGCGTTCCTGGTTTTTTTTTTTAAGCTTACAGAGTAGTACAAATGGGTTTCAAATGTTTTAGTTTTATATCGTCACATCAATAAATAACTTTTCTCGTTAGTAATAACTACAATAAAAATAATAACACTGACAATAGTAATAACACAACAACGACATTATTTTTTATTTTTTACCTGTAACAGCTGTCAAGTTCATATTCATAACTTTAGTAGTGTTTTTCTAGATAATATAGCATAGGCTTAAAGGTGTTATAAATAAGGGATCTAATAAATATCATTATTTTCTCTCGTAGTTTATTATAAAAACGCATCGTTGAAGGACACACTGGTCGACACTCATTGGATTACAAAAATTGTGTCACAAATCAAATGGCTTCGTCGCTAAGACGTAGTCATTAGGGTGGCATAAGATCCCTGAGCCACAATTTAATTATTAACTGACTTAATATAAAATGATTGGTGTTTCGATGAAATTTTCACATGCTTGACAACAAGCTGAAATCAAGTTAATAATGATAAGTGCATGCTGATTAATTTCAGCAAATAATTAATTGTATAGTGCTGCACTAGCTATATTACATACCTGAACCTCAGAATCTATCCTCTCACCTAATTTCTGTGCAGATAAGGCTGCACTTATATACCTTTTGAATTTTCAGATGTTTCTCCACTTGCTGCAAATAAATCATTTCATGTACAAATTTGTGTTTGATTTTAACTGTGCACTTGAAAATACATTCAATGGGGAGGTTAGGTTACTGTTAGCAGTATGGATGTATGGGTATGTGATCGGGCAATAAAATGTTCAACACTATCGCTCTCATTACAAAATACGAACACGTTTATTCTCACTATTTTGAGTACATGCTATCTTCAGTCTTTACGATAAAAAATACAATCGCAAGCTGAATAAGCTATAACGCTTTTTTAATTTTCTGTTTATGTTTTTAAAGACATACTAATTGTAGTCCGAATACTCACAAGTAGATGACAGTCGGCCTACTACCATGTCAGCGTGCTAATACTATTCTACAATACTATAAAGTAATTTAGGTCTCATAAAACATTTTTCCGCCCTCGGGTGGTTTTGGAAGGCTGGTACTTCCTCGGGCAAAAAAGCAGTTTTCCGATTCTCGTTCGAAAAGTCTCCTTTACGAACCTCGTTACGGACCTCACCTTCGGCTCGGGCCGCAAACCTCTCGGTTCGCAAACAGAGACTTTTCAAACTCGTAGGAAAACTACTATTTCGCAATATTATGCGGAAAATAGGTGTTTTCCGCACTGGTATTAGTGTGGAAAATTGATTTTCCCACATAGTGTGCGACAAAGGTGTGCGGCACTGGTATTAGTGTGAAAAATTTATTTTCCCACATAGTGTGCGACAAAGGTGTGTGGCAAAGGTTTTTGTCGCACAGTGTGTGGAAAAAGTGTGCGGCAAAGGTCTTTGCCGCACAGTGTGCGGAAAAGGTGTACGGAAATGGTTTTGCAACACACCAGAAAAAATTTTGCTACTCACTGGTAATCAAAATTCACACCTATTTTGTACCTATTTTCCTCACACATTGCGAAAAAACTTGTACGCAACTCGTGCGGGACGATTTCCCGCACTCGTGTGATAGACTCGCACTCGTGGCCGGTGACGGTAACGCGTACCTTGCGATCAACACTCGTGCTACGCGCTCGTGTGCTCAACTGATACTCGTTCCCGTCAACTCCGGCCACTCGTGCGAGTCAATCACAACTCGTGCGGAAAATCGTCTTTTCCGCACTTGTTACGTAAATAGTAGTTTTCCTACGAGTTTGAAAAGTCTCTGTTTGCGAACCAAGAGATTTGCGGCCCGAGCCGAAGGCGAGGGTCGTAACGAGGTTCGTAAAGGAGACTTTTCGAACGAGTTCCGGAAAACTGCTTTTTCGCCCGAGGAAGTACCAGCCTCCCAAAACCACCCGAGGGCGGAAAAAACTATTTTTTTTGAAAATTATAATATGGCAATACTAGATAACTCTCAAATTAAAAAAAGGAAACGTATGTTTAGTTTTACTTTTCCATAACTTAAATTCCTATTGGATGCACAAAGAAGACTGTCAATTTTGCTAGTACCTTGATTATGCTGGAAGTAATACTGTTTTCAGAACTTTTAATTCAACTGTAGTTTTTCCGTACAAAAAGCTTGTAACTATTTGTGATGATACTGATAGCTTGTGCTCAGGATAAAAACTAATAGTAATCTTAAAAATGTGTATAAACAATAAAATGTTCTTATAGAGCTTTACTAACTATTTAAGTCTAACCTTACACAATTGTTGCAGTTTTACGGGACGAGTTTCGCGTGGAGCCACAAAACACGCGAGTGGCTGCGGGTGGAACGGCACTTCTAGAGTGCGGTTCACCTCGAGGATATCCAGAACCCACACTTCAATGGAAGAAAAATGGCCATATTATAGACTTTGAAAGTAATAAGAGGTAAGCCTTTGTGACATAATAATTTCACGCGTATAATATGTAGTATCTCACTTATGTATACAGCAGGGTCCCAAAAATCGCTGTAATTAACTAACCACGAAAACTACTCAATTGTATTTGATAAAATTTTGCATACTGATTCTTGACAATTCTTAGATGGTTTCACATAGTTTAAAAAAAAAAGTTAATAATAATAGAAATAAATAAGCTCAAAGTTTTGCCATAAGAATGTCAGCTTTGCGCTTTAGTTCAGCAGAATCCAGTAGATGACGTAGAAGTATAATTGAAGCAATCTGCAAGCAAAATCAGCGAGTATAATTATAATAATCCTGATCATAATGTCACATTCCATCGTCGTTCATTGTTAGTACGTCAAAAATAAAGTTTTAATCCGTGCACCTGGGTACTCAGGCTATCAACGATACCCTGATTAATTACGATGGGCCGGCGATCCTCACTGATTTTCAACCTGGATCGTGAAGATGACCGAGTACCATGAAAACACAGGCGTTGTAAATGTTAACATCCCTGGCATAATATCAAGAGACGGCTAGCTAGAGCATAACTAGCTCTAATGCTTAGGGCGTCATGGTCATTCTTCCAACCAACCTGGTGCTGCTGAAGCACCAGCTTGGTCATTGTGATAACGATTTGCCCACTCATAGAATGTATACTTAAAGTCGACCACTTTTAAACCAAGTCAATCATTCAGTTGGAGGCATTATGAATGGAGTTTTTTATCGCAACGCTGCACGAAAAAAAATTTTGTGTTGAAAGAGTACACGTTACTCGGGGTAGGAACTTCCAAGTAGGTACCGAACTTATACAGCTCAACTAACCAGGCGCCATCTAGCTCAAAACGTTGTACTCGTACAGCTCAAGGCAGTGTTGAACTCTATGATTCCGTGGAGGGGGTACTGTACGAGCCCAACGGGTTGGACTATTTGAGTGCAACCTCTAGAGCTCCTGGCTTCAGCCATATGTGTATGTATACACATATGGCTGTAAATACATATTAACGTCTCGACTCTGTGTTGCGATAATCAAAGTATAACTATAAGGTATTTTCACTTGTGACGTCATTCCAAGATGGCGCGATCACTGCGCAATTCATGTTTTTGCCACACACTGCTTCAATTTTGCCAGCTCGTCAGTGGTTATGGGACTTTGTTATGATCACAGAGGTGAGAAAGCTTGCAACCATATATATACATGTATAGTAGACGGGTACAATTCGCCTGATTGCAGTACTTTTTTTTCTGTACTGATTTTCATTAAAACTACACTTTTGGCAAACAAACGAAAAATTTCCTCTAATTTATCAGGAATCGCTTTTGACTATATTTCAAATTCATTATAACTGGATCATGGTAAGCTCAAAAAATAAAATTTTTTTCTAATCAACTTTATGCCCGCGATAATTTCATTCTTTTTTTTGCATTGCTTACCAAGTAAAGATGTAAAAAATTTAGTGTTCATTCGATAGGTTATTAAAACCTGAAGTTTTTAAACGCATTATCATTACTTGGGACGCCCTCGTGAATTTCACAGCTGGTTTTGCACTTTTGGTGCAAATTTGAAGAAAAAACCCAGTGATCGCGCCATCTTGGAATGACGTCACAAATGAAAATACCTTTACGTAGCCCAGTATATCTTTAACGTTACTCATACAAACGTATGCATATGTGTAAGGCATCATACACGTATATGTATACATGTAGATACGGTGTAGATAGGTATAGTGGTAGTGTCATGTGGTGTAAGGGGAAGAATCAAGCAAAATCCACTTCCATCACACGTTTTCTTAAGGCCAAAATCTGATGTCGTTGATTTACCCTCACGCATAACACGCTTATCGGAGTATAATTTTAAAAACCAAAAATTTGTTGTGTCACAAGTAGTAAAATAAGATAAAAAAATAGTAGTTCAGGGAAAAAAATGTGTCAACAAACACAACAGATACAAATGAAAATACTATACACAAAAACAAAAACTTACCAAAACAAGCTATTCTGGCGGAATGATTGTTGAATGCGAATTTTGTTCAGCAAAATTTCAGCAATGTTTAAGACAAAAATTGAATGGTTGTAAACGTGGAAGAATATTTTTACCTGCTTTAAGTCTGTATGATAATAAATTAATGCAATTATTGCTAAACGGTGATGATTTTATATATTTTATTCGATACTGCAATATTTTTTCTTTTGCATCGTTTAGTGAAAATCTCGTGAGTGAAAAAAAAGCTAATAATAACTTAAAATGTCAAGGTCAAGTTCGTCACATGACACCTAAATCTCTTGTATACAATTCTGGTAACTATTCTTACAGTCAATTATGTATATGAGGATGACTTCACTTCTGCTGGAAAACATTTAAAACCAACCCCAATCCAACTAACGTATTAAACTACTATTAGAATATAAAAATATTAACACAAATAATGAAACAAAGTCTATATGCGAAAAAATACAAATATTTAAATCAAATTGCAAATATACGTCTTCAGAAGTATAAAAGTAATTTTTGAGAAAACATAACAATGGAAAACATCAGTACAGTAAACTTGTAAGTGAAAAATGTGGAGCTATAATCGTTTTAAAATCAGAAAATATTGGAGATTCTGACTTAAAAGTGTATCAAAATGATTTACGAAATATTGTACTAAATCACACATATTTAAATAAATTATCACAGGATGTCAATACAATGGTTTTTCCTTTACTTTTCTCATCAGGAGATGTAGAATGGAGCACTAGCTACAGGCAAAAAATTATGTAATAGCACAAAATCTCACGTTGTTCCAATAATATTTGTATAGAACTTCTTATCGACTAAGCCGTAAGATTTTCAGTCCTATACTTGCATATATTATGATAGAAAGCAAAAGGATAAACTTTTCTCATAATAACAAAAAAAATTAAGGATTAAATGTTACCAAGGTCTATTAGATCGTATAATGCGTAGTGCATTGAATAATATAGGAATTTGGAAAATAATAAAGTTCGAAACATTTTTATTGTGCGCAAATGATCTGTCTAATTTATCTAATTTATCTAATTTATCTAATT